ATTTTTATAAAAATTATACTTTATACAAATTAAGTTTTATATTAATTGATTTATGAAAGTATATTTTATTTTCAAAATATATAAAAGTATTATTATTTTTGCAATTAATTTAATATTTTTGCATAACTATTTGTATTCAATAATATTCAATAAATTAGAGAAATAATAGTAACAGTTTCAATAAAAAATTATATTATATAGAAATAATAAATTAATTAATCATTAATTAATATATAAATTAAAAGGTGAAAGATAAAAACTTTTTCTTTCAAATGAAACAAACTTTTTTTCTATCTATTTTATTTTGCAATATAAAAGATTTCATATAATAGAATTTATGTATAACAGAATTTACAATAAAATCTTCAAAGACTTACATATTTATTCGAACGTTCTATCACCAAGGAAAATTTTATATAGCGAAATTTAAAATACAATAGAATCTCCAATATCCGAATACTTATTACTTGATCGAAGATTTTATATAGCATAGTATAAAATATAATAGAAAAGATTTAATTATTTATTTTAAGATTTAATTCATTATTTTAAAAATATGATATTTCTTATAAATTTTTTAGAAATATTAAGCATCATCTTTATTACTATTATTACTTAATTTTTTTGAGTTAGAGATTTTAAAAATTAATAATATTTGTGCAGCTTATTGTAATTGTTGATTAAGAAAAAAATAAGAATGAAAATTTTTATTCATTTATAATAATAATATAATTCTCATAATTTATTATTTATATAAAAAGACAAATAACAATTTAAAAATATTACTAAATATATAAATGTTTAACATTATTTTAAATTTAATAATGATTTTTAATTACAGATTTGATTTGTTTATAAAATGTATTTTTCAATATTATTTATAAATCAATATTATTTATAATCAATATTTTTATATCTGATAAAATTGTAATAAAAATTTCATTGAAAAACATTGATATATAAAGATTTTTGAAAAAAATTCAATTGAACTTCGAAAAAATTTTATACAATTTCTCTTTTTTTATTATTTATATCTCTTAATAATTAAATCTTAATATATATATATTTTTTTCCATTATTATATCGATAATAACTGAACATAAAAAATAAAAGTGTATATAAGTATAAGAGCTAGAAAGTTATATAATAATAAAATTATAAATACAAAAATAAGAAATATAAAAGTATACAAATTTTTAAACACTACTCTTATAATTTACTTTCAGTAATTTCATAAATTAACAATGACAAATTGCAGATTATATTTTACTAAAAACTAATCATTCTTTTAAAACTTTAAAATTTAGAATCAATTATATCGGATTAATATATTTGAAAGTTAAGAGAAAATCATTAGTGTAAATAAAAAATACATGAATGCTTGAAATTATACATATATATACAATGTTCTAGTTGAGTTAATTATTATTTAATTATAAAATAAATTAAATATTTATATTCATAATTGTTCTTTCAAATATAATATGTGAACAACAATTTTTAAAAATTCAATAACAAAAGTTTTAAAGAACAATAAATAATCTTTATTTTCGCAAAATAACATATTATATATATATATATAATATTTATTTTATATCCTGAAAAAATCTTGAATATTAATATTTTAATTTATTTAATGTATACGTAAATATATATATAATATATAAGTAATACATACAAATAATATTTTATATGTATATATGAAGGATACAAAAATCAGCAATTCATTCAATTCAATAAACTTCAGTTAGAAAAATCATTTACTTCAATAAGCTGATTTGTCAATTAAAAGTTTAAATAATAAAAAAATTATGAAATATTTTTTCGAATAACGAATAATTTAGGAATAAAACCTTCTATAGAAGAAAATACATCTTATCTATTTCAATAACCTTGATATTTTAAAATCAAGTGCAAGCAATATCCTAAGGAAATGCATGTTCCGATGTTCAATATATCATTCGATTCTTGATGGAACTATTTGTACTGTATTTGTAAAATTTTAAAACATCTTTCCTTAAGATTTATATCTTTTTGTTTCAAATAATCAAGATCATTAAAATTGGAGAAACATTTTCCAATTATTTCAATTCTTAAAATAATTCCAATCATTCATATCAATCACGTTATACATGATCGAATGACTAGTAACTATTATTGATTTTGAATTTTTTGGTTTTAGATAAAAATAATTTAACAATTGAAAGTTATTTTTTATTTTTATTTTTATTCATTCATTAAAGAATAATAAGATAAATTATAGAACATGCCAAACCTTCTCTTTGAAAAACAGAAAAAAATAAAAAAAATAGTAAATGATTTTAATCTAACTCATTATCAGATGAAACTAAAACTTAATTTAAATTCTAAAAAGTTGTATCAAATATGATGTATGAATACCAAAAATGAGAAAATATAGCTAACTGAAGATTTCTGAAATAATAAGCAATTTTTTTCATTTGGAAAAATTTTGATTTTGGCTTTATTAACGAGTTATTAACAAAAAAATATTAACTTATGTCCTCATAGAATGCATAGAATTGTCAATGATTGATAATAACGTTAGATATAATTTATTTCACCAAACTTAAATAAATAAGTTCAAGTAAAAAAAAAAAAAATTAATCCTACATATATCGAAACAAATGCGTTAAATATTTATTATATTATATCGAATTATATTTCACAATCAATGAATATTAGCAAATATTATATTTTTTTATATTTTTATACTTAAAACATAAAAATATTTCTAATAATTAAATTACTAATAATAAAAATTCTTCCGCATTAATAGAAAAATTAAATAAAATATCCTAAAATATAATTATTTAATAAGCAAATAATTTTTTCGATAATGAATTAATAATAATATTATATTGTTTATATTATTAATTTTATTTTATATTATAAAATAGACATTATTTTATTATTACATTCTTAATTTATATTCTTAAAATTTTATTATTTTATTTTATTATTAATTGCTATTAATAATAAATGCTATAATAAATAATTTTT